TCAGCTGTCCTGTGAAACACCTTAGGGTATCCAAAAAGAAATGTAAGCAAAGCTTAGTGCAGATGTGGTCATGGCCCCTGTACTAAGAGTACAACATTTACAGGGGAAAGGAGAAACATAGCAGAGTTGGTCCATAGGCTCCAGTAATTTAGCACCCTGTCTCTGGACAGTTACTGGGGCCTCATGGAAAGCTGAGCTACCCAGTTCAGTATTCTCCACCCCTCTTATTGCAAGGACTAGCCCTGGCTCGGTCTAGCCACCCAACGAGGCAGGCCAGCATCCTGCACTTCCTCCACAGACACCTGGGTTCTTCATCACCTGGAGTCTCTGTGACATGTTCTGGCCTGTGCTAACTGGGGGTTAGACTAGATGGGGGCGGGGGGTAGGGAGGGAGACCACAAACTTTTTGGGCCGAGGGCTACATCTGGGTGGGGAAATTGTATGCAGGGCCGGGGCAGGGGATTGGGGTGCGGGAGGGAGTGCAGGGTGTGGGAGGGGGTGCGGTGTGCAGGAAGGGGCTCAGGGCAAGGGATTGGGGCAGAGGAGGGGTGCGGGGTGTATAAGGGGGCTCAGGGAAGGGGGTTGGGGTGCAGGAGGGGTGTGGAGTGCAGGAGGGGGCTCAGGGCAGGGGTGCGGACTGTGGCAGAGGGCTCAGGGCAGGGGGTTGGGGTGCAGGAGACGTGTGGGGTGTGGCGGGGGGCTCAGGGCAGGGGCTTGGGGTGCAGGAGGGGTGTGGGGTGCAGCAGGGGGCTCGGGGGCAGGGGGCGGGAGGGGGGCTTGGGGCGGGGGGTGGGGGGGCGGGGTGCAGGCTCCGGCCTGGCGCCGCTTACCTAAAGCAGCTCTGGGGTGGCAGCGGAGTGCACCGGGGCGAGGGCAGGCTCTCTGCCTGCCTGCCCTGTCCCCGCGCCGCTCCAGGAAGCGCTGCGGCCCCTGCAGGGGGGGCGGAGGGCTCTGCGTCCGCTGCCCTTGCTGTGCCTCCAGGTACCTCCCACGAAGCTCTCATTGGCCGCGGTTCCCCATTCCCAGCCACCGGGGGGGGCGGGGGGGGGGGGGGGGGGGGGGCAGGGCCTGGAGGCAAGGGCAACGCACACGGAGCCCTCTGCCCCCCCGCCTGGGGGCTGCTTCTGAGAGCGGCGCCAGGCCCGCGGCGCCACGGGGGGCAATCCCATGGGCCGAATCCAAAGCCCTGAGGGGCCGGATCCGGCCCGCGGGCCGTAGTTTGCCCACCCCTGGACTAGACAATCACGATGGCTCCTTCTGAACTTAAAGCCCGTGAGTCTGTGAACTCATGACGAGCTAAGTTCCCTCTAAGCTGCGCGGCCGCATGGCAGCCTATTAAGTGCCGCGCAGGCGAGGCGGGGAGAGATGCCTCTCCCCCAGCCCCAGACCTGCTGCGGCCAGGGGAGAGGCGCTGATCCTGGGGCCCAGCCCCGGAGCTGCCGCGGGGAGAGGGAGCTGGGGAGAATCCTCTCTCCCTGCCGTAGCCCTGGGGCAGCCTGCACCCCAAACCCTTCATCCCCGGCCCCAACCCCCAGCCGGAGCCCTGACCTCCCTGCCCACCAACACTCTGCTCCAGCCCTGAGCCCCCACCACATGAATTTATGCTATGTGCACCAATATGGAGGTGATGTGTCACACAGAGTCACGTCACACCTCACCTCCATATTGGTGCACATAACAAAATTCATTCCGCACATGGGTGGGAAAATTGGAGGGAACACTGATGACGAGAGGTCCCTTCTTCTGCAAGGGACCACTGGGAAGGAAGGCATCACTGGGGGAGAGGAGGGTGGAAGAATCTGCTCCTTATTAATGTAAGAACATGAGAAAAAAATCTGACACAGCCTCCGAGTGGCTGCTGAACAGAATGTCTATCCCCAGGAGCTGCTCGAACATCAGAGAGGTGCCCAGGCTATGTACGTCCAGCAGAATGCACAAGTCCTGCCATACACACAGCGCCAGGAACAGCTCTACTCAGCGGAAGCAGAATACGTCAGGAGGATGCAGCACTACCTAGAGAAGCGTGGGAAGCCATCAGCCAAGGACTCATCTGCATAGCCTGAGGAATTGTTAACTTAATGCACAGAACACTGGCAAGCCCAGGGAGAGTTCAACAAATCCCACGGGTTGTGGCAGAGCGGGGGAGGCGAAGAAAGGGCTGAAAGAAGGGACATAGCATCCCTATTACAACCTCTGCCTCCTGGCTTCTCTCTGGCCTCAGGGATGTCAATGAACAGAAAAGATGGCTCAGGCAATTCCAGAGCTAGTGAAAAGCCAGTGCTCTCGGGCTGTGGGAACGGTACCCTGGTGCAGCATCTGAATTAGGTGTAAGCCAGGCACCGGAACAGGGTCTGAACCTGGTTAGCTATGCGAGACATTCATGGGAATTTTTAATCTCCTGAAACAAAAATCCCTTTATTTCTAAAACCTCCTGCAATAGGAACGGAGGATGGGCCCTGCCTGGATTGCCCAGAAAGCAATGATGAATTGACGGCAATATTTATTTGCAAGAGCTGAACTCAGACAGACGTAGATTAAGAAATCTGCCCAAAGCCTTAGATGGAGAGGGTGGAACAGGACTCATTTGTTTAAAGTTTCACTCAGTGCTTTCCCATCAATGCCAGCTCCCAGGCTGTGCTTCCTCTGCCCCCAATGCTGCTCCTGCAAGGTCTGGATTCTAGATGCAGCCTGTGCTGCCGTGCCCCCCCCCCCACTGTATACACACAGGGGGGAAGGGCCAGTAGATCTGTGGGCAAATGTATCATTCTCGACTTTATACGCTTTAGAAGTGTCCACTTTACACAGCAGATTGGTCCAAGGACTCTCCATCGCCCCGAGCACACCTGCTAGCAGACCAGCTCTAACCATCTGCAGATCCCACAGCCAGTGAACGTGGCAGAAGGGAGCCCAGCTCCAGAGCTGGGGCATTTTAATACAGTATTTTGAAGAGCTAGCACGATTAGTATTAATGTCAGACCTTTTTAGGGCTGGGAACCTGACACAGAACTCTCCTCTTTCACTAGTGTACTGTGAGAGACAGACAGGGAGAGCAATCTCTGGAAGGAACTTCATTCAGACCACGTGGTGCAGTGCCCAGGGGACACCCAGAGACAGGGAAGGTGGGAATGCCCCCAGCTCAGCAGTAGGGCATCAATACAGTGCATCGATCCTCAGGACCCAGCAACAAGACTGCACTAGCAAGGATAACAGCCCCAGAATGACAGAGGGACGGGTCCGTGCGCCTAGCTGCACGAGTCAGTAGAAGGAGGGAAGGAAATTGGAAGGCAATGTTCAGTGCATCACCCTGAGCATCACGGACGTACGGCACCCCATCCCAGCATTGCGCCATCTTCCCAAAGCCATGATAGGCAAGCTGGAATCTCCAGAGAGAAAGCTGCCTCCAGCAGCAGACAGGTGATTTGAAATAGACCCACCCCCCAGCTCTTCGAGTCCCCCACCAAAAGTGCAAGGACACTATGAAAACTGCCCCAACGCCCTGCTAGAACGCACGAGCCACAGATATGGCTCCAAGTACGTCATCGGCAGCAGAGTCGTTCAGTGATTTCGGACCCTTCGCTGGCAGCAGAGGAGAGAATAAGAACGTAAGAGCGGCCACACTGGGTCAGACCAATGGTCCATCTAACCCAGTATCCTGCCTTCCGACAGTGGCCAATGCCAGGTGCTGGATGGATTCCACTCCTCCCCTGCCCTCTGACCCAAAGCTAGAGGGGTTGTGGGGCTGGGCAGAGAGAGGGGGGAGGAGTCACTTGCCCCCTGGCAACTGCCATTCCCCTCCTTCAGCACAGGCCTCGCCAGCAGTGTGGTCTGGGCACCTGGGCTAGCAGGACTGGCCACAAGCCAGACCCAAGCTGGCAGAGCTCTAAAGAGAGCGGCCCCAGACTGTCCCATTCATCCCCCTGCATAGACACACCAATGGAAGGAGAGGGCAGGGGACAGTTTGATGGAAGTCACTGCTTTACCCCCACAAAACCACCAAGTTGGCAAAGCAAGTACAGATTTAGTTTAAGATTACCTGGGGGAAGAAACAGAAAAATTGGTAAGAAGCATTACCCCTGTGATATTACCTGCAGACACATTTACAAACACACAAGAATACCCAGCATCCTCTGCAGGGAGAGAGTCACATGATATTGGGAGGCGCCCCTCTTTCAAATGAATCCAGCACAGATCTCTCACGGCCTCACAGAACCCCCAGCACGGTGGGGGCGTTATCGGAATAGAAGCATTGCACCCGGGGACCAGCAGCAAGCAGAAAAACCATTCCAGGTAGCGGTGGCACCGAGATGTCAGAAGCCCCTCCCACTCATGCAAAGCAGCCCGAATTTCCACGTCACTGCCATGATGGAAATAATTCGGTAATCTGAAATGCCTTATGCCCAGGTTGTTGCAATATGGCAGATCGGCTGGAAAGGGCAAGCAGCGACCCGCTGTAAGTGTCAATCCAGGAAAGAAGGAAGCAAGCCCTGCGCTACCATTGTTATAAAGTTGCATAGTGTAGGTTAGTAAATCAAACTCAAGAGATTCAGAATTATTGGCAGAAAAAAATTCCACAGAATTAGTTGCATTCATATTAGAAACAGCATCAGTATGGTTCCTATTTAAATCAGCCACTGCCATTATGGAAGGCTCAGTGCTTTGCACTGATTGGCTGCTGTTATTTTTAAGGCTGCGACGGGTACTATTCCCATACGAGACCGATTGGTTTGAATGTGCAATATAATGGGATAGCCAGTTGTCTAAAGAACCTGCCAGCTGGGCTGGAATCCCGGCAGGCACGCTGATATTGGTCTGCAGCTCCCACCAGTCCGGAACACTTGCTGTCGGTGAAACTCCTCCTCTCTTTTCTGAGGCCACTCCCCCGCCAGCCCTTGCTTGTGGGAGGGCAGCACCTTCCTGATCCTCTGCAAAGAGGTATTCCTGGGAAGCCCCCATCTCACCACGGGCACCTCCACCTGGTGAAAACGAGAAAGAAGCACTACCTGGAAGAGCCGCTGCAGGCTTCTGTAAGAGCGCCTGAGTCCTGTTCCAGGCAGGCGGAGGCCCTGTTGGCATGGGAAGTGAAGCCTCTGGCTGCCCGGTCCCGAGCAGGCTGTGGCCATCCCCTGTCAAGTTGGCAGTCATGTTCCCACGGCCAGCCAGCCCCGTTGCAGAGCTTACAGCAGCCAGGTTGGTGTGAGGGGTTGTCAGAGGAGCAGCGGCTGTGGGCTCCCCTGTGTTCCCGGTCCTCTGGTTGGTCCTCTCATCCCACAGGTGGACCAGGCTCCTGATGCCCTCTGCTACGTCCAGGATCTCAGCCCCCACCCCCGCAATGTTCTCCTCTTTGCCCTGGGGCATGGCAGGTGGTACCAGAGCGGGGACAGCGGTGTCCATGGCTGGTGCCTGCCTCGTGACGGAGAGTGTGCTCCATACTCGGTCCCCTGGCTGTGCGGTCGCTGGCTCAGCAGTCTGTGTCGTGGTGGCCACAGGAGAGGTAAGCAGTTCCGCCGTCTGTCCCTCAGCAGCGGGGCTCTCTGTGGGGGGCAGGGTCGTTACCTTGGGGTTTTTTGGGCTCCCCCAGAGCCAGCCAAAAAACTGTGCCTCCGCCAAGGAGCAGCAGCAGGTTAGCAAGAGCAGGAGACACAGACGCTGCTCAACTGGAGCCATGAAAAATACAGTTCCAGGAAAAGTGTCCTGCAGCAGACCAGCATCCAGGGGCGCTCACATTGATCTGTCCTCTGCAGCTCCTCGAAGCATGCACAAAAACGCAGGGAGGCGTGGCTAGCCAGAGCCCCTGCCAAGCCCTGCTCCCAACCAGCCAGCCTCTCCTATTCCACGCCCTCCTTCCCCGACAGGGCAATGCTCCCTCTGGGAACCTGGGGCTGGCTTCTGAGCACACCTGGAGTTTTATCCTTTGCCCAAACCCTTCTGCAGCTCCTCCCTGGGAGCCAGCAGCACTGCACCCTTGTTCCACACTCCGGAGAAGCATTCTGCCATTTATTGCTCAGCCACACCACTAGCCATGGACCTTTAACTCCTTCTTGCCCACAGCTTAGCATGTCCAGAGACGTCTGCCCCTTCCTGGCCGCATGCTTGTGTTTTAGTAGCTGTTCTCCTGTAATTAGACGTGAGAAAAACTCCGGAGCATGCAGGCTGCTTGTCAGACATGCAGAGGGAGCAGGCATTGGAGCTGTGGCAAAGAATTCACAACCTTCATTTTGTCAGGCAAAGTGGTTTATGACAGTGCTGCTGTCAGAGAAAGCAGAGCGATGATTTGCAGTCAGTCACTTCACCCCCTGGGCTCCATCTCTCCTCACACAGCCCAGCTGGCAGCCTCCCCACTCCTTTCCTTCCTCTCCCTCTCATGAGCCTGGCTTCTACAGCAGGTATTTGCTCTTGTAACTGTGGGGATGAGGCATTTCCTGGGTTTCCTTCTCCCCTCAGCTCGGCGGGGCAGCTGCACCTGACGGGGTCGGCCCAGAGACTGGGTGAACTGGGCTGGACACAAGTGCCTTCACATACTAGCTCCACATGCTGCCTTTTTGACAGGAATGTCATGCTGAGGAACACCACATTGGTGAGAACGGGTAACAAACCATGCAGAGCAACGTATGCATGAAACGGTCATTCCACATTTCCTCTGCAAGTTCTTCTATATCATTGCAGCAGCCTAAGCAATCCCCCTCGCCCACGCAATTCCCTGGCTAAGCAACAGCCAAAGCCTTGCTGTGTAGGACAGAAGGCACGACTTCTCTCCCTTAGCCTAGGGCTGACAGTGCTGCCCCGAAGGACCCTCCCACTTCGTAGCCTGAGGAACAAGAAGCCCAGAAGCAAGACAAGAGGCATTCTAACCCACTCGCCCATCCTGCAGGACAGTGAGAAGGGCTTTGATGCAAAGCGCGCAGGAGTCAATGAGAGCCCTTCCAGGGACTGTGATGGACTTTGCATCAGTTGGCGAATGGATAGTCCTCAGTAATTCACAGATGATTAGAGTACAGGGCCAGGACAAACCAGTACACCCCTCATGTACGGCACAGTGGCTTTCATCCCGTAATTCCTGCATTTTGTGAGGATCCCCTACATATCTGGGAGGGTGGTGTTCCCTCCTCCACCCCGCCATGCTCAAGGGACTCTTCTCCCTAGGTTAACCAGACCCCCCTGGATCTCGAGCCGATTTGCTCTTGGGGCTTCCCAGAGATTAACTTCTGCAGCGGAGGGGAAATCCTTCATTCCAGCCATGTTTTGCGTAATCTGTCAGATCGGAATCAGCATCCTCAGAATTTAGTAAACCTGGAAATTCCATTTCCGATTAGCTCAATATGCTTAATGCCGTGTAATCAGCCTTGTAGAGGAGATTCCTCCACAGAGTGCATTATGAGCCTGAGTGCACAATACGGTCTAGTAATCACACCATTTCCTGAGCTCCCTTCACTCCCCTCTTGGTTCAGATCTCGCCAAACACTAGCAGGGCTTTGCAGTGCAGACTCGCACGGCAGATACCAACACTCGGACACAGCAAGGGTTTTCACACCCAAAAGAAGGAATGTAGGCGATGGTCTGGTTCGCCCTCTATCCCCACCCAGCACTGCAGAGACCCTCCAATACCTGGACACTACAGCAACAGTGGGGAGGGCTATTAATCGCCAGCATCTAGTTCCCTGTCAAACCAGTAACAATGCAAACACAGGTCTTCATCTGCCTTAGAAAGGCAAAGAATTCACAACCTTCATTTTGTCAGGCCATGTGGTTTATGTCAAGGAATGGGCCGTGGGCTACTGTATACAAGGGGAAGGCCAAGCGAGCACCTACCCAGACCAAGAACAAGCAACCACAAGGGAGACGAACAGGACACACATATCTTAGACTTTGCCGGTGCCTGCGGGCAAGGACTATACGCAGTTGGGAGTGGGGCGATGCAGAGGCTGGTCACACCAATGTGAAGAGACGCTTGAGAACCCTTTACACAATGCAGCCTGGCAGACACCTCTCCCCCCACAATCACGGCCCCAGTTTCATCACTAACTCAGCGAGAGACTCGCTTCCTAACCGGAGCCCATCTGAGCTGCAGTGGATCATGCAACTTCTCCTTCACCATTTCTCTCTTCTTCATACATCAAACCCCAGACACGCAGCAGCCTCCATTTTAAACCGCCCTGCACACTCCCTTTGCAGTGGCCAGTTCTTCCCAACGTGGAATGGCTGTGCATGGGACAAGGGCTCCTTTTCTCTGGTGTATTTCCCATTCTCCCAGGTCTTGAGACCCACGTACCCATTTAGATCCATACAGGGTCAGCCCAGGGTACAACACTGCCCGTTCCCAGGCACTCGGTCGCTCCTGATGACATCCCAAAATTGTCTGCCATGTTCCAGAACTATTTTTGTACGCAGCAGGGTCTGGATTCTCACGCAGCTCTGCCCCCGATTTCCCTTTTCCAGGCCCTCCACGTACCCAGTGCTTCAGTGCACGCAGTCCCCTCCTCTGCTGCTCTGGATACAGTCCTGCTCCCCCTTGCCACTGCATTAGAAATTAATCAGGTTACAAGGGAACAGCCCCCATTATTAATAACAAACTGAGCTATCTGTGAAGGACATACAGGGCAGGTAACTACCCTGCTTAAGAAATTAAGGGGACTTCCTACTCAAATGGCAATTTCCTTGTAAACAGCGTAGCCACGCTCCCTGGTAGGTAGTGACAGTCTAGCGAGGTACGAGTAACTCTTCCCTGTCTGGTATGCAGGGTGTGACAAAGTGGGAATGTTCTTAATGTTTTCTCTGAATACTCAGCTCCCCCTATGCCTTTCTTAAGTATCAAGGTGGTAGGATAAGGGGGTGTGATTATTGCAGAGCCCTAGAGGGCAGGGGTGTGCAGGGATCTGCACAGAGAACGGCCGACACCCTGTCTCCTGATGGCCTGGGTCCCTCCCCTGCAAAGGTGTCAACTGAAGGTGTTGGAGAACAAAGATCAGGTGGCTTCCTGGCCTGGGAAAAAGACAAAGGCCAGGAGGGGCTGGAGGGGTTTTCAGTCTGGAGCTGGCTGGGGAAATGGAGGGAGGCCCAGACAGGGCTCTGGGCTCCCTGCCCGCAAGATGGACGTGACTAAGGGGTCCTGGTCTCTGTACCTACAAGCTCTGGTTTAGACCGTGTTCCTGTCGTCTAATAAACCTTCTGTTTTACTGGCTGGCTGAGAGTCACGTCTGACTGCGGAGTTGGGATGCAGGGCCCTCTCGCTTTCCCAGGAGCCCCGCCTGTGCGGACTCGCTGTGGGAAGCGCACAGTGTGAAAAGGGGATGCTGAATGCTCCAAGGTCAGGCCCAGGAAGGTCGAAGCTGTGTAAGCTTCTTGCCGTGGAGACTGTCTGCTCAGAGAGAGGAGGCTCCCCCAGAGTCCTGACTGGCTTCGCAGGGAGTAGTTCCAGAGCATCGCCCAGTGACTCCGTGACACAGGGACAGCCCTCGGCATACTCCAGGGACAGGATCCAACCGGGGAGTGGGCTTGCACAATGACAAGCAAGTGTCCATGAGGCTCTCCCTCGGGAGAGGTCCTTTCCGCTGGAGGCAGGCAGCCTGAGAAGCCCTGGTGTTTTGGGAGCCTCCAGGATAAAGAGACAGGATATGGCCAGCAGCACATCCGAGCGCTCCTGGGAAGCCGGACCAGCAGCTTCACTCAAAGGAGCCCCGTATTGAGTAAAGGAAGCATTCAATCCCTTACCAGCAAGTGCCCTTGATAGTCAGAGATTCAGGCCCACAGTCTCACGTATGATTTACTCCAAAGCAGAGCTTGCCACGGGAGAAGCTTGCACACTTTGTATGTCTATAATTTATCCAGTTTCAATTTTCAAAATGGTGAGCAGTGGGCTGAAGATGCATGTGGCACCCAAGAGAGAGGAAACCACAGAAAATCTTCTCCAGTCCCCCGGAGGAGGAATTGCTTACACCTTCCAAGTAAGGGTCAGCGTTCTCCTCCCTGTCGTTCACAAGGAAGACCCCTGGGTACAGCATCGGTTACTACGAAAGGAAGCACACCCACCTGGACTCCTCTCGGACTAACCGTCACAAAAACAAAGAGCCGCCGGTCCTGTGTACAGTGCAATCAGGAGGTGCGACGGCAGCACCCGCAGACATAACAGTGCTAGCTTTGGTCGAGCTCACTTGCTGAGAATAGCAGTGTAGCCCAGGCAGCAGCACAGACTAGTTGCGGGAGTACAATCTCGCCCAGCACGACTAGCCCTCACCGCCACGGCTAGCAAGCCAATGCAAAGAAAGCTAGCTCGGGCACGCCTGCACCTGTCACGATCACACCTTAGACGTACCCTACGCCCTGCGGTTATAGCAGCTATGTACCGTTCCGGGGTGGCTGACAGAAGATGAGATTGCCCAAGGATTCCGTGTTTCCTTTAGCTGGCAAAAGAATCAATGTTCTTTCCTTCAAGACTCAATTATTTTCACTATGTTTAAAATTATCTATTTTATTTTTATACTTGTAAAAAATAAACAATTCAAAGAAAGATACATGCCTTAAAGCAAACCTCTGCAGCTGCTCTGCTGTCCCCACCGAATCCCCTCCTTCATGCCATAGCTACACCTATGTGCTTCTCTTTATACACTCCGAGGAGCAACTTTGCTCTGAATGGCACTACTCAAGCAGGTGTGTAAGTCCTTACAGGATTGAAACAGACAGCAAGGTCTGTGGGGTAGGGCCTGTGTTCTCTATGAACCCAAACACACCTGAGTGCTATAAAATAATAAATTGTAATATCCT